CAATATTTTTCAAAACAGTATTATCCAGTATTTATAACATATAAATTCATACTGCATACATTAAATATATTATGTCATGATATATTGTTCCTAGCAATGGTTCAGTGATTTGAGTAACTCATTGAATATTTCTAAAGCAAATGTGCATCATGAATGTATGAATGTACATTTAATACAGTGGTGGGTTGCAGGCAGTACACCCCAGTACAGGTGTACCGGTGCCTGCTGGGAGCACCGGGTACCGTTCCGGTAGGGTGCTCTGGAGGTTCTACCTGCCCGCCCATCCTCCTTACCTGTATTTCTGATTTCGGTGCTTCCACACATGTGCACAGTGTGCACGGTGCCTGCACGATGCTCCGCGAATCAGTTGGAGCATCACGGAGGCTCGGGGAGGCATCACAAGAGGTAAGGACGCATGTGTACGCTGTGTGCGTTCATGTGGTGTACACCGGGCCCCGTTGCACCGTACCAGTTGCAACGGGATCCAAAACCCACCACTGATATAATATACACAGAGATGAGTTGCTGCCAGTTCAGCCCGGTTCGACTGAACTGGTAGTGGAATTCAGGCCTGAGTCACAGAACCGGCAGTGACCCAGGCCTGCCACTCCCCTGACCCAGTTCCCTCACTGCCACTGGGCCACTGCCATTTTGGATTTTAGTGACTGCACATGCGCAGTTCATTGTAAACTGCTCTATGCATGTGCGCAGAACAATTTACATTGAACAGTGTGTACGTGCACGGTGCACTCCTGACACGCTCTGATTGTGAACTGGTAGTAAAACTGGGAGCAACCCACCCTTGAATACACATCAACTCAATTAATTAAATGAAGTCTCCCCTTAGAATATGTGTGTTACTTCCTAGTGGTAAGTTCTATACACTTGCGCTGGTAGAAAGTTCTTTCAAATGCAGTGAAAATGCTAAGAAATGGGAAAGGAATACAAATATGGACTAAAAACAAAAATAAGTGACTCTTTAATTGTGGTCCAGCTTTATGAAAGGCTTTGATAATAGTACCCTGAATTGTGTCCTCAAAGTATATGAATGTCTCTAAAAGTAGTAAAACTCATGCAACATGATTTTTAACACTTAGTACCTTTTGCATTCTTACTGCTTTATTTATAGTATTATTGGATTTTCTGGCTACCTAGCATACAGATCTACAATATACTAGCTGAGAGTTCAACAGGGCCTGGATTGTTGAAATGAGGTTATGCCCAGGCCTAAATTTATAAATAGATTCATGCCATAGGGACACTTGCATCTTTGATGATAACAATAGAACTAGAAGTACCATCAAGGGATGGTTGAGATCTTTTAGTGAGGTGGCACTTTTATTTATGTTTTACAAAAAAAAGTTGATGCATTTTAAACTTTTGTGACTTCCTCAACAATGAAGCAACTAATCATTATATATGTATGTGCATGCTCACATGTGCTATAAATAAGAATCAAATTAAATAAGTAAATAGTTATAGTGGGTAATGACTATAATAGTTAGTGGGGGAGGGCATACCATCAACATGTATATACCTCTTTTAAAAAGGGAGCTGAAAGAAAGATTTATAGTGAATTCATGTGGAATTAAAACTGAAATTTTAAACAGCATAAATTTGCTAATACTGTCTACTAGCAATGAAAAAAATGATTAAATAATAAAATGTATAGTAATTATTACAAAATGCAATATTTTAAAAAATTGAAATAACAGATTGTTGTAATTATACAGATGGATCTCAGAAGAAAATCTAATTGTGTCATGAATTAGTGTACTAAAGGATGGCAATGTATAAAAATTGATTCCAAGAAGATCAAAGATAGAAAAAATATAATGAAATTCTGTACAATATCCAAGATAAGAATATATTCCTTTCTTATACAAGAACTCTAGTATTCAAAGATGATGTTAATTCAGCACTCTGGTCATTACCAAATCAGACAGTTATAGAAATTGATTGAATATCTACAGAAATACAACAAGCTACAGGAGAAGAACCAGTCTAACCAAACTCTACCAAACTCGCCAGATTCGTTTTTCTCACCATGTACATGTATACATCTGAACTAGACTGTGTTGTTTCTCTGTGTCATATAATATATGTGGGTGTATGCATAATTTTGTATTTATTTATTTATTTAGTCATGTTTATGTACTGTATGTTGGGGTGGAGAATTTTTGAGAACTTTGAGAACATTAAAATTTCGTTTTAATGTATACCGATTAGTGTACGTTCAAAGTGACAATAAAGTTATTCTAAGTCTAAGTCTCTAAAACACTACATTAGCCAACAGACTGAAAGAAATAAAAACCAAAGACTTAACAGAATGTGCAAACTATTGTATAATATCTTCAATTGCATGTGCTATGCAAACAATGCTTAGGACCGTTCAAGGCAAATTAAAGTCCTATTAGAAAAGGAAGTGCTAAATGTTCAAATTGGCTTTTGAAGAGGCCAAGGAATAAGATGCATTATTGCTCATATGCAATAGGTAATTGAGAGAGCCAAAAAGAGAGACAAGCCAATATATACCTCATTGGTTATAGAAAGATCTGTAATTTGGGTGACCATGTGAAATGAACTTAGGAACATGGGAAAACCAGGATAACTTACTGTATTCTAGTGAAAACTATTCACTGGAACTGGCAGAGAGGGTGTGCTGGAAGAAGAAGTAGCCGGGAGAGAGGCTGTTTTTACAGTACAATTTTGCCGAGAAGGAGCGGAACAGAGACGCTGTATTAGAATGGACAGGAAGGGACAGCCGGAAGAGTCTAAAGATCAGCCACAGTAAGAATGAAAACCTGATATGGACTTCAGAAGATAAAAGTTGCTGAAAAGAGTTGGAAGGTTCAAAGAAGTGACTGCTTAATAGGCGGATTGGTAAACGGAGCTCCCTTTTCTTCCTGTTTACCAGTCCTTCTGCTTCTGCGTTGAATTTTTAAGTATTTGATATTTATCTGACTAGGAGCTTGGAACAGAGATCTGTCTGGAAATACACTTTTGCTTCATGGATATTAACAGTAATACTAAGGGGAGAGTGACACCTAGTGGACTGTAAATTTGAATGGTGAAGCAAGTCATAAGAGAACATAGAGAGACTAATTATCAGAAGTGAATACTTGTATAACCGATAAAATTGCTAAACATTTATTGATATAAGATAAGAGTGTGATATATAAATTTATAATATATATTAATCAAATTAATTAAATAGAATACCACATAGGAATGTTTAAGTATTGAAAGGTGATATCAAGGAAGGTTATACAAGTATTCACT